GGGGGTGTTTGATGTGGGCAGGAGAGGCTACTGCGATTCTACAATCCTACCAGGACATTTAACTGATTCTGCATCATATGGAAAAGGACACCCCAAGCGAGGAAGCCCAAGAATATCAATACAGAGGCCCCTGTCTTTCACCCAACCTTCAAAAGCAAAAGGACCAGAACCAGAGGCCAATAGGCTTCAAGACAGTAAGGGAAAAGGCAAAAGGCAAAAGGCAAAAGGCAGCGCACTAACAGCAGTAGTGGAAAAGCAGTGAGAGCGAGCTAATGGCAGCAAGGTAAAGGTAGGAAAAGGAGAGCAAGGCAACAGACAGCCAACTGACCAAGTACAAGGTAAGCAGCAGAGGAAAATAAAACGGCAAGGGAAAGCAGTAGAGCAAAGCATAGTGAGGGGTGAAGGGTATCGAGGCGACGAAGCATTGAGTGGCAAGCAGTTAGCAAGGCACATATGCTGGTGGGCAAAGGGGAGGAGGGTGGGCAAGCAAGCACAGCCTCAAGCACCTAGAGTAAGACACCACCAAGTACAAGAGGGTGAAAAAAAACACTTCAAAGTTTAAACCACCACTTCATGGGCCCAGGCCCCCAGCCAAGTTGAGAATCCGATCGAGCCTCTCCTAACATTTCAGAGGCTCGCGACAGGGTGCCTTAAGGGCCAGTAGGAAAAAAAAACATTCTCCCGTGCCGTGGGGTGGCACTGGGCCCAGCCCTGAACAAGGAAAAAAATTATGCCCTCCACCGGGCAGGCCCTGTCCCGAGTCCCGTAACTTTTCGGAGAGGCTCGTCTAGATGCACTGGTGGCTTAAGAGCAAAACATTGAAGAGCCAAAAAAAAAAAAAAGGAGAATCGTTTCGTCAAAGTTGCACCGACTCATCGGGTGGCTGAGCCCTCCACAATCTGCGGAATCCTCGTATTGATCGTTTGGCTCATGCACCCTCCAGCCTTGTTGAAGCCAGACTGTCCCCAAGCGGAACACACAGGCAGGTAAGCTGAGGTAACAGCTCAGCACGTGCGTGTGTGTGTGTGTGTGTGTGTGTGTGTGTGTGTGTGTGTGTGTGTGTGAGAGAGAGAGAGAGAGAGAGAGAGAGAGAG